GCGCTTGCTACGCTTGGCTGACCTTTTGAGGGTGGCTTAGATGGAGGGACAGCAGCCATGCAGGTCCAGCTCTGTCCCCAGATTCAGGGAGGAGAAGCGGGCAAGATGTGCCTCAGGTCACAGGCGGTCCTGACAGCAGAGATGCATGTATTAAAGGTCTTCTTTGCCTTGATACTATAGCGTTCTCCTCTCGTGGAAAGCAGTGACTTCCTGACATGCGTGGAGACATTTTAAAACAGTGGCCTTTTGAGTTCAGGGCGACTGTTGAGAGGGACCATCCGTAGAATCTCTGACCTGAGCCTTTGTGTGCCACGTTGCAGTGTCTTGGGTCACAGCCCAGCTTGGTCCCTGTCACGTGCCCACTCCCTGGGCACCCCCCCCACACACATACCCCCAGCACCTGGAACAGACCTGGAGCTGCTCCACTCGCGATGAGGGGACGGATGAGCAGGTTGTCCTGTGAGATGTTCTGGTGATTTTTTCCACGGTAAACGTTCTGCACAAATTCTACCTGAATACGAACTGGCTCATAAGAGACTAAAATAATTAATTTGCCAGTTGTTTTACTGAACCTACAGGCACCTCCTCTTTTCAAGAAAACTGGTATTTAGAAATGGAGGAAGTTCCTTATTAGAAAACAAATTCTTCACAAAAGGAATGCCCTCTGAGTTCCTTAGCACAAAAAGATATGTTTACATTTTATTTTTTTAAAAACGTCCTTCTTGTTGATTCAAGAATTGGTATAGGCTACTTACTCCAGGAGTTTCTCTAATTTTTCCCTTTAAAAAGTGTTGGATTAAAGTAAGCTAGCAAAATATGTAACTGCTCCTAAGAACAAGATTCATGAAGGAGAAGAGACCACGTGGGACCTCCCAGGGATGCCTGCTTCCAGTCAAAGGAAACACTACTGGACACTAACTGGACAGTTTGGCCTCAAGAGAATTAAATTAGATGTTGTAGCTCTGACGTTTTATGGGATGTGTGTGTCCAGCCAGCAGGAGTGCGCTGATTAGATGGCATGTCCTCTGGAAATTTGAAATGTCACTAGCACAGAGTCTGCAAGTGTCCAGTACCATCTTCATTTTTCTTTAACTTCCCGCATATTTATGCTGCCAACAATGTAACTTGTAGAATGTGACCAAAAGCAAGAAAGAATTCTTTTAACAAAACTGAAATTATAGATTGTGTAACAATTCAATTCATAGAAGATAACAGTTTTTCCTTCTGCCAGTATTAGAAGTCAGTGACTAGGATGAGAGTCAAATGAGGTGTTAATTCCCACGGAGGGTGGACAAGAGGGACAGTCCGAAAAGAGGTCACTTCTCACAGGCCATCTGCCCGAGCTGGTCCCCCAGATGGGACCCTTGTTGTCGACGCAGCCTGCGTTCGCCCTGCATGAGATACCCTCGTCCCTGGGGGAGGAGCGGGGCCACGGACCTTGGGAGAACCTGATGAAAGCTCCTGACACTTCCCAGAGAGTTATAACAACATGGACACAGAGTCTGCGAACAAGCCTGGGTGCTGGCAGTGCTCCGGCTCTGTGAACATCTAGGTGAGGATCTGCTATTGCAGAGTTTAGGTCTCATTAAATACAGTAAATATTTTCATTAAATACGGTAAAACTGAGAAGACTTTTAAAATCAGGTAATCAACTTGCACATCGCTGAAGCCTGTGGAAGCTGTTCGCTGCGTCCTGACACGCGTGAGGTGCGCGGGACGCAGGTAGCAAGAGTTTGCAGTGTTTCAGTCCTGAATCCGGTCCCTGTTACTGTGTGACTTTGGGGTCATTTTCCTCATCTCTGGGCCTCAGTTCTCGCTGTGCAGCGTGATAATACAGTACGTCTTCTAGGGGCGTTGTAAGAATTAGGCAGTCATGTCCAGCCCTTCCGGTAGCGCCTCGGTAATAACGGGTCAGTGTGGAAATCTGCGTGAAGCCAGGAGTGAAGACGGCACGGCCCCCGGCCTCTGCCCATTGAGGGTGCCCTGTGCTGCACGAAAGAGCGACCTGAACACGAAACCGTCACCCTCTGTCCTTCCCTCACACCCACGCTGTCATCCTGACCACGTAACACGTGCGCTTGGGCATTCCAGACGTGCCTGGGAGCTCAGAGAGCTGAGGTTTTCCGTACTTTTATTTAATTCTAGCTTTAGTATATTATCATGAGAGAGTTCGGCCTGTACGATCTCTGTTTTTTTGAAATGCGTTAAATTTTCCTTTGTGGCCATTTTCATAGTTAATTTTTGTAAATATTCTATTGACACATAAGAAAAATGCAGATTCTCTATTTGAAGGATGTAAGTTTTTCTGCTTATTTATTAAGCAAGGTTTGGCGGTTATATTATTTAATTCCTCCACATCCTTACTTGTTTAGAATTGTTAAATTTGAAGAGACGTATAAAAATCTCCCACAATATTTGTATTTTTGACAAATTCTCTTTAGGTTTCCAACAGATTTTGTCTTATATATCTAGCTGAATAGAGGCTAATGTGTGGTTATATCTTCTTTGTAAATTGTCTTCTGAGGGCTTCCCTGGTGGCGCAGTGGTTAAGAACCCACCTGCCAATTTAGGGGACACGGGTTCAAGCCCTGGTCTGGGAAGATCCCACGTGCCGTGGAGCAACTAAGCCTGTGCGCCACAGCTACTGAGCCTGCGCTCTAGAGCCCGTGAGCTACAACTACTGAGCCCATGTGCCACAACTACTGAAACCCACGCACCTAGAGCCCATGCTCCGCAACAAAGAGAAGCCACCGCAATGAGAAGCCTGCGTACTGCAACGAAGAGGAGCCCCCGCTCGCCACAACTAGAGAAAGCCCACACGCAGCAACCAAGACCCAAAGCAGCCAAAAAATAAATTAAAAAAAAACAACTGTCTTTTGCACTTTTATGTTAATTACCATTATAACCTAAGATTTCACTGTCATCTATTAACATGGTCACTCTTGTGTTTGCACATCCCACTGTGGTGGTTTTTCTGGTGGGTGCCCTGTGGATAACTAGCTAACCCACCATGCTAACCCCACGCCTTCTGCTAGTGAGTTTAGCCTTTTTCTAAAGGATTTTTTTACGTGATATTAGAAAACTGTAGTTTTTGTTGATGATAGGAGGGGGTGGTTGGAATACTTACTTTCTTTTGTGACAGAATATCCATTCTCAGACTAAGACCTGGTGTCGGGTCCTCCTCACTTCGAAACTACTGAGGACCCCAAAGAAATTTGCTTATGTGGGTTTTGTCTATTAATATTTACCATATGGAAGTTAAAATAAGTTTTAAAAAAATTTCTCTATTTAAAAATAAAGAGTGCCTGTGTCCTCCTGTGCCCATCTTCGCAGCGTCTGTGCGTTCTCAGGGCTGGATTCAGCGTGTGCAGCATCCTCGTGGGGCACCGGGACCCTGCACTGCACACAAGCGAGGCGGCAGTGGTACCAGGGAAGTAGCTTAGATCTGGGGTCCCGGGGGCTCCCTGGATGGCTCTCTGAGGGCCACGGCCCACGGGCTCCGCACTCTTATTTTTCTTTGCGGAGCAGGAGAGGCATGTATTTGCATATTCTGGTCTGTTTCTCTCAGATCCTGAGGGTCTTGAGAGCAGGGAGCCTGTCAGGGAAGGTTGGTTGTTACTCACTGCCCAGGGCTGGTGGCTTGGTCTGTCGGGTCAGCGCTGGGAGCCCCACCCCTTCCGGCTGTCGTTAGCAGTGAAGCTGGCCTCAGGTCTCTAAGTTGGTTGTAAACGCAGGCGGGGAAAGGGTCTGAGTCAGTGTTAAAGTGGTGCTGATTGTGATGCTGGTCGAACAAGGAAGACGGAAGACGCTAACATTTTGCTTTGTGACCACCTAGACGGGTGGGAGGGAGACGCAAGAGGGAGGAGATATGGGGACATATGTACATGTATAGCTGATTCACTTTGTTATACAGCAGAAACTGGCACACCATTGTAAAGCAATGATACTCCAATAAAGATGTTAAAAAAAAAAAAAATGAGGAGCCGGACTGACTTGCAGCCTTGGGCTTCTCAGGTGCTGTCTGGCCAGGGCCCTGGCGTGTTGCTTCTGCTCACTGCGGCATAGGACCCTCATGTAAATACACTGCACGTTGCGGAATGATTTTCCCCACAATTCATGTGATTGTCATATTTGTGATTTTTTAACTTCCACACGGTCAGCATGGCAGCGTGAGTATGTGAGTTAGCATTTTCTTTTCTCCCTCTGGAAACTCACAGAGGCAGCTAGGAGGATTGGAAAGGAGGGATGAAAAATTCCTTTTTCAGAGAAGTAGGCAGATGTAATTCACAGATTCTAAAATCTGTTTAAGGCTTACCCACAGTGGCTCAGATTGGGCAGAAACAGTATGGGAAGAAGTGAATGGATGTGTCCAGGTGGGGAGGACTTGGCAGAGGCAGCCCTGGACCACACCAGAGACACGCGTGGCCCAGGGCGAGGCCCCGCGTGGGAGGCGGAAATTACAGGACGTGAGGGGACGCGGGGAAGCGGCTGACACAGGACTCCTGAGACCCAGTTTGTACAGAGAGGTGGGCCGTGGGTTCACCGAAGACTGATACGGATGAGCCGTGTTTGTGACAACCAGCTCTCCCCGGAGCAGCTGAGGGGAGGGGACAGCACTGGGGCAGAGAAGCGGGAAGGCTGTCCCGTCCTTCCCAGGCCTTCCCCACTGGCCGCCATGCCGGCATCGCGTGCAGAAGCCTGGGAGGCACGCCAGGCAGCAGCTGTGGGAGGGAGGGGCAGTGCTGTGTGTGTCAGGCAGGAGGCCGGAGGGACAGGCGTGATGTGAGGCCGTTGGGGAAGGTCCGGCTCAGCTCGTGTGAGGCTGGGACATTCAGAGGAAAGGGCACGGCAGGATGCTGGGTGGACCCCCAAAGATGTGCCGTCGTCGTGGGGAGGGTGTCACGGCCTGCGGCCTGCGCTCTCCTTCCCTGTCACTCGGGGGCGTTTCCCTTCAGAGGTGATGCTCACCTGTAACTCCCCCCCCCCTCCGCCCCCCACAGCTGTTGCAGCTGATCGCAAAGTCCCAGCTGACCTCGCTGAGCGGTGTGGCCCAGAAGAACTACTTCAACGTTCTGGATAAAATCGTTCAAAAAGGTAAGGTGATGACTGATATTTTTAATAATCTAAATCTTAATTAGAAATTCGGTGCAAGGAGACTGGATTTTTCTTTTATTTCCCCCCAGTATTAATGGTGTCAAATAATGTGATGGTGTCAGGGCAAGGGCAAGGGCTCGGGTCGGCTGCTCAGTTCTTGATGTTGTCATTGTTGTTCTTTAAAAGGTGCTTTTGCATACAGAAGAACATATTGTAATGAGAAAGACAATTTTTTTTGTTTTGGGGCCCCACTGCGTGGCATGTGGGATCTTAGTTCCCCAATTAGGGATCAGACCCGTGCCCCCTGCAGTGGAAGCACGGCGTCTTAACCGCTGGACCACCAGGGAAGTCCCAGAGAAAGGTAATTAATCCCTGAGTTTTAAAAAGACACTTACTGTTTCATGGGTACTAGTCACAGCTCACCTTAGCTGTATAGTGTTTCTATAATTAGCAAGGTTGTGACTTAGTTCTTAGGCATCAGCTAAGCCTGTCATTTTAATTTAATGTTGGTCCTGATTAGTGGCCAGTAATAAACGGAACTTTGAGTTTATGCATATATATGCCATTTTAAATATCCATTCTCATGATTAAGTATAAAAGAAAACAGAGACTGACAGGTTTAAAGGCAAAACTGTAGACTCAACCAAAAATACACTATCAGACAATACTTTGAAGTTTTAAAATCTCATCCTACTTGTGATATCTCAGAAATGATGCCACTTTGGAGTTGCAGTGAAATTAGATCATAATTTTTTATTGTATTAAATATACATAAAATTTACCATCTTAACCACTCTTAAGTGCACAGCTCAGTGGCATTAAGTACATTCGCATCATTGTGCAACGATGGCCACCATCCTCAGCAGAGCTCACCTTGCAGAGCTGACACTCTGTCCCCATAAACACCAACCAGCACGACCCTCCCCCCACTGCCCAGCCCCTGGCGCCCACCATCTACTTTCTGTCTCTATGAGTTTGACTATTCTAAGGACCTCATATAAGGAGAATCACACAATACTTGTTCATTTGTGGCTGGTTCTTATCATAAGGGCTTCAAGTTTCATCTACGTCGTAGCACGTGTCAGAATTTCCTTCCTGTTTAAGGCTGAGTAATATTCCATTGTGTGTATGTATCACACTCTGTATATCTGTGTTATCTGTTAATGGGCCCTTGGGCTGTGAAATGCAGGTCATTCTTAACAGCGGGGGTTGACTGTATCAGTGCATTGTTTTTGTTTTTGTTTGTTCCAGTTCTCGATGACCACCAAAACCCTCGCCTAATCAAAGATCTTCTCCAAGACCTAAGCTCTACCCTTTGCATTCTAATTAGAGGAGTGGGGAAGTCCGTTCTGGTGGGAAATATCAACATTTGGGTTTGCCGGTTAGAAACTATTCTCAACTGGCAACAGCAGCTACAGAATCTTCAGATGACTGAGGTATGCATTTCTTGGCCTACAAGTGAGTACGCTCTGTTTTTCTGTTACAAACACTGTTGTTACTTCTAAGCACATGTGAAAGACTATTACAGCTTTTCCAAAGGTTTTTTTCCTTTACATTTCATAAATATTAAACTGTTTTAAGATGGATTAAGACCAGAAGACCCTTTAATGGGTTATAGGTGTCATTGGAAAGACAGTGGGGACGGTAATTATTAAAAAGAGCTGATCCTGTGGGTGATGAGGTGGCGAGTTGATTTACCTCTGTAGGAGATTAGGTATTTCAGGCTAAAATAACGTTCAGTGAATTAAGGCTAAATTGTATAGTAGTGACTCTGTCCATCTGCGGTTGCTTCTCTAGGGTTGATGTGTTGTGCGTTGCATGGCGTGTGTACATGTGTTTGTAGTTCAAAAGGAGCACGCAGATCACTCCAGTTGTTCTGATGCTTTTTGTTTATTCTGGTAACTAGTTTCATCAAGAAAAATGTTGACCCTATTGACTAAAGTAAGTGTTTTAGGTTGTGTTTTATTTATCTCTGGTTGCTTTCAGAGGTGGCGTTGGAACACTGTAACTTTGGGCCATTTATTTGCTACCTAAATGTGGGATTTACAAAGAGCAGTGATTCCCTAATTAAGGCCCTGCAGTTACAAGGGACGATCTGACATCCAGTGTCCAGGCGGCCTTGGTGTGAGCGCCGCACAGACCCCACCTCGTTCCCACGGGCAGAGGCTTGTGCTGTGAGGGCCACCTGCCTGAAGACACATGCACCTGGGGCGTGTCTGCTATCCAGGCCTTGATAGACGTGGCCAGGTGCCACTGTCCCCTAGTAGCTGATGCGTGGTGACGCCTCGTCAGCTGGCGAACTCGGGGAGTGTGGGTGTCAGTGGTCGGGATCCCCAGGGAAGGGAATGCTTGTCGCGCAGGTCCAGGCAGGGCCGCTGCTGGGCGTTATCTGGAGAGAAGTGGGGAGGAAGGAGGGGCGGGCGGCCTTCCCGTCGCCTGGGCCTCAGACGTCAGTGTGAGTGCCACGCTCCTGCGCCTTCTCGCTGGAGTAAGTGCGCGGGTCCTCCCAGCAGGTGGACAGCGGCCTGACGCTCAGCGACCTTCCCGTGCACATGCTCAGCAACATCCTGTACAGGTTCTCGGATGGGTGGGACATCGTCACTCTGGGTCAGGTGACCCCGACGCTGTCCGCGCTTAGCGAGGACCGGCGGCTGTGGAAGAAGCTCTGCCAGTACCACTTCGGCGAGAAGCAGGTGAGCATTGGCTCCGGCCCCAGCGGCCAGGCCTGGCCACTTCGGGGAATGGACTAGAATCACTTACGGGAAAGCTTGTTCTTCATGTTGAGAAAGAGCTGTGATTCTAAGCACAGCCCAGAACAGAGAAGCAGAACAAGAGCAGGTTCTTCCTGTCGAGGACGTGCCCCTCGTCTTTCCCGTAACTCGAGGCCCCTCTCCGGGTGGTGTGTCACCTCTGGGATCATGGGTGGCCACCCGCTCCCCGCACCCCTGCCCTCCCAGGACCGGGACTAGCCACGGGGACCGGCGGACTCCTGTGTGTCCCCCTCATCGTTGCCCCCCTCCTCGCCCCCCGCCCCGTGTTGTTTCTGGAGTGAAGCACCGACAGCTGGGCATCCACGACACGCACGGCAGCGTGAAGGGCAGGGGACAGTCTCGGATGAGGCAGGATGCAATCCTGCCCCAGGGGGTCCTTGCCGAGGGGACAGATGTCACGTGTCTCTTCAGACACGGGCTTGGGGGATGTGTGGGGTCACGTGCCCGTCCCCTAGGTGGACACGGCCACTCTGGGGGGCATGGCGGGCAGGGGCGTCCTGGAGGTGAGCAGGTTCAGTCCCTGAAACTGAGAAGTGCGTGCTGGAGGGGGTGAGGCTGGGTGCGGCCAGGCCACGGGGCCGCCATGGTCCCCCTTCTCGGGGCGGGGCGCCCCGGAGTGGAGTCTAATATTCCAAGGAACCGAGAAGCTGTTGCTCAAAGTCGCCGCCCCATCGGGCAGTCCCCGACTGCTCCACGCCCCCATCCCCACCTGTTACTCTGAGTGTTTGGTCACAGCCTCACGGGGGGCGTGAGGGGCTTCCTCCTCCCATCCCTGATGCCCGAGGCGCTGAGCATCTTTTCATGTGCTTGTTGCCCATTTGTATGTCTTTTCAAGTCCTTTGCCCATTTTGTATTTGGATTGTCTTTCTGTTACTGAGTTGTGTTCTTTTTGTGTTCTAGTTACAAGTCCCTGGCAGATACATGATGTAGTAACTTACTTTTAGCTTAATAGTATGTCGTGGACATCATTCCAGATCGGAACCTTTAAGTCTCTTTAACAGCTGCATGGTATTCCAGTGTATAGGCTGAATTATATTTGAAATTTAATTTCTAATAATTGAATGTTTCATGCAGTATACTGCTTTTAAAAAATTGTTATGCTATGAAAACCATCTGATTCTGAACAGAATTTTGTCTGTCTAGTTTTGTAGACACTTGATCCTTTCAGAAAAAGGTCATATCGAATGGAAGTTGATGTATTTTGCACTTCAGAAACATTACCCCACTAAGGAACAGTACGGAGACACACTGCACTTTTGTCGGCACTGCAGCATCCTCTTTTGGAAGGTAAAAATTTCAGATGTAGTCTTGGAGTTTGAGGATTAAAATTTGGAGAAACAAACTATTCACCTAACGGTAATGGTAAAAAAAAAAAAAAAAAAGGCAAGTTGTATTTATGATAAGATAATGATGTATCACCAAGGACTGGGGCAGGGGAACAGGTTCACAAACATAGAACAACTTGCGGCTGGACCTGAACGTCGGGCCACCCACCCCGTCCCCTTGCACTGTGGTAGCAGGTGGGGGGGGGGGCTGTCCCCGAGGGCGGTGAGCGCGCTGGCTGGCGCCTCGGCCCGAGTCCTGGCGGGGCTGCTTTCTGCTGTTGTCGAGGCTCAGGATCCCCCACCCTCTTCTGGAAGCCGAGGGGGCCCCTCAGCTGCCCTCCACACTCGGCCTCAGCCTCCACTGTCGGGACCCCCGAAGACGGCACCTCCAGGGGGCTTCTCCTCACAGCCCTGTGCCTGGAGCAGAGGCGAGGCCCACGAAGGTGCCCAGGCTTCTCATGTGTTTGAGCCACACTTAGCAAGTCTGGTCCTTGGTGGAGACTGAGCCACGTCCGCAGTTGTCTGGGCCCATCCCCTCCCTCTCTGGCTCCCTTCCTCTCCTGTCCAGACTCTGATAAAAACAAGTTTCCAGGGCGGGGGAGTGGGGTGCTTCCATGCACCTCCTCTCAGTGAAATCATTTCCATAGTTTGCCTTGAGTTTGAATTTGCTTGTTAACGTGGTGAAATTTCACTAGGGAGAAAAGTGGCGAAACTGGCAGGCGGTCTGCGCCTGCCCCTCCGTGTCCTCGGGTGTGGCTGTAAGGCCGCAGGCCTTCCGCCTGGTCAGCGCCTTGGCTGTTTGTGTATTTCTTTTGCTCTTCATTTATCTGTAATTTGTTGCATGGATTACATGGCAGACTCTAAACTGTTGGAAGAGAAATGACTACTTTAAATTGTTTTCATTTCAGATTATATCCGTGGTAATGTGGCTCTTTTTTAACTGTAACCCGTGGTTGTGGGGTGAGAGTCCCTGTGTCAACAGAGCTTTACCTCCTGGGCTGCAGGCGAGCAGGTCCTGCTGTCCCCACTCATGACCAACAGGAGGTCACGTCATTGGTAATTGGTTGTTTTGTATTCTAGTGTGGCTTTTCCCACACAATTAAAAAGAAGAAATGTGTTACATGGCTGCAGTGGCTGTTCTGTGGAACCTTGTTCCTCTGGGGCAGGGGCACCTCGCGCTCATTCTCGCTGGTGTGCCGGCTGCGTTGCACGGGGACGCAGGCGAATCAGTCAGCGGGATTACAGTACATGGAGCGGAGCCCTTATTGTGCGCCCTTGGTCCCAATCACAGGGATAGAAACGCATACCCGGGCAGGTGCCCGTGGAAAACACGTGAGGAGGCATCTTCACGGCTGAGTCAGAGCAGATGAGACCGTCTGGTTGCTGCTCTGAACTGATGCTCCTCCCCGGGGTTTTCTGTGCTCCTGAGCAGATCACTTTATTCCAGAGAGAGGCTGGGAGCAGTGGTGTCTCTTCCTGGGGCGGATGTGGTGGGCGTTCCTCGAAGAACGCCGTTGCAGAGTGTGGAGAGAGTGGGAGCCCTGTCTCCGAAGTCGTGAACAGAGACGCACCCTCCTTAGTCTCCCTGCTGTTGGTGTTCTTAAGAATGTGATGCTGAGGCATCGAGAAGCACGGAAGTTCTGGATTTTTTAAAATTGAGATGTGATTTTTTAGGTTTCCAGAAGAATTGGCCTATGGATTCTTTTGTTTATGAAAATTCAGAACAAGTGTCTCCTGCTGGTCTTTTGGCTCTGAAATGTTCAGTCTTGCCTTGAAAGCTGAGCACTTCGATGTCCATGCAGCCTCAGGCCTCAGGGCCTGGTTCGGTCCACCCGTGGGGTCACACTGTAGCTTTTTCTCCTAGAGGCCATTCCAACTTTATTCTGAATCTGTGGGTGGAAATTAAAAAAAAAAAAAAAAGATGAGTCTCTGGAATTTCTGGTGGAAACTGCTTGCAGTGTCAGCTCCCGAGGAAGGCCCCCTGCGTTGCCTCAGCTGACCGCACTTTCCCCCCCCCCCGGCTCATCCCACACCATCCCATGGCCTCACCCTAGTTCCCAGCCTCGTGAAGCCTCCTGTCGGGGCAGACCTGCCGCGTGGAGCCGTGAAGGTTAAGCAGTGCCCTGCCCTGCGCGGGGCTGGTGCTCAGAAGTGGCCTCTGCGCTTTGACTCACCTTCGCCAGCACTTCCTGTTGATGGGGAGACAGCAGCGTGACACCATCGGATGCCGCCGGGTGCTGGTGGGGACCCGCCATGGTCCGGCTCCCGCACGCTGCCAGACTCGTCCTCTTCCGCCCACGTGGGCCTGGGCTCTGACCTCTCAGCTGCCCCAGCCGTCCTGTCTGTTCTGGCTTCACTCTCTGGAGTCTGGGGGTTAGTTTTCTACCTGCCGTTGTGGTAACTCCTCCAAAGTGAAAGAAGGGGAAATACTGGGCTTAAGAACTGTGCACCACGGTCTTGGAGTCACTGAGCCGAGTCACTCAGGCGAGCGCAGGTGCCGGCTCGGGGTCTGTCTGGCTTCCGTGGGCCGGCCCTCCCGGCTTGCTGAGTAGTGACGCGAGACCGCCGTGTTCCTTCCGCCTGACCGTCCTCCAGCTGAGTTTCTCGACTTCATTGAACTTCGGCCAACACTGGGGGTTGGGTGAGTTGGAAGCCGGACAGAATGAGTCCAGTTAAAGGCTGGGAATCAGGACCCCGTGTCCTTTTTTGTCTCGGCGTGTCCACTGCAGGTCCACACCGTGGGTCTGTGGCCGGAGCAGGGAGGCTGCTGGCCCCAGCCCGCGCTGATGGCCAGCTCCCATCTCCAGCGAGGGTGGGGAAGCCGGGCCAGGTGCCCGGGCCGGCGAGAGGCGAGAGCGGCAGGTTGGTGCTGACCTCGAGCTGAAAACCGTGGATGCGCAGGGGTCCGCGCGGGATCCAGGCTCTGGGGTGCCTGGGCTTGCGTGGAGTCTGGTTCGTGCTCTGCATTCCAAGGAGTTGACTCTCAGACAGCAAAGAGGGAATGAGGGAGCTTCCGAGAAACCTGCCATAAATATTTGCAGTGTAAACCGTATGTGTCAGTGTCGCTCTGTGCACTTCCAGTGAACAGTTCCGACGGTTATTTAGCTCCGCAGCCTCATCAGGTGTCAGTCCGAGACTCGAGGAAGTGGAAACTGGCAGTGTCCCAGGTGGCCCTCCAGGTGCTGGACGCTGCCTCGGATTCAGCTGCCCGATGATTTTAGCCATTTTCGTAAATAATACACATCCAGCCTAAATGCTAAGTACAGTCTGGCTCTTCCTAATAACCCTGTTTTCCCTTTTTTCCTTCCTTCTCTGCACTCCTTCCTGACCCTTTCTCCGCCGTCTCCAAGGACTGCCGCCTTGCTTTATTACTCGAGGTACCTCCTGCTCTGCCCGCGTCTGCGCGCGTCCCCAGGAGGCTGGTGCCCCTCAGGCCGCACCCTTTGCTGATGTGCGACTGGCCTGCTTGCTTCACCACGACCGGGGGTCCCATGAGCTGCCCTGTAGACCAGAGGGAGGGTGTAGACTTGGCCGCCGGGTCCCCGGCCTTACTGGCCCCCAGTCCTGAGGCTGCTCTGTCTCCTGACCTGAGCCCCGTTTCTGCTGCGGAACGCAGTGCTGGGCCCTCTGGTGAGTGGGGTGGGCGGTGCCGAGAGCAGGTCCCGGGGTGGACCCTGACCCACGGCGGGAGGGGAGGAGCGCGGCCAGGACGGGGGCGCAGAGCCCAGGGCTCCCTCTGGGGCCCTAACTCAGGGCGGCCCGTCTCCCCATCCACTGGAGCAGGAATTCCTTCGGGAAGTCTCTCCCCTGGGGAGCCGTGTGGCTGCCTTCATTTTCGTAGTTCTCATCGCTTGCTGTCCACGCACCTCTGTGGTGGGGTCCGGGGCGTGTTTAAACAAGCAGCTGGCGACTTCTGAGCTGCGTTCCCTCCAGAAACACGCCCCGTGTGGTAACGACCCACTCCTCCCGCAGGACTCGGGCCACCCCTGCACGGCTGCTGACCCCGACAGCTGCTTCACGCCCGTGTCCCCGCAGCACTTCATCGACCTCTTCAAGTTCTAAGGGCCCAACCGCGCCGTGGCCTGGGCAGCGTGGTAGGACGCGTCCTCCGTGACCGAGCCGTGACCTGGTGCCCAGGCTGGAGGGCGTGGAGGGACGTGGAAAAGTGCCCTGGCACCTGCGGGCGGGAGCATCTGTTGTTTCCACCCATGAAGTGGGGCCAGGGAGCCCAAGGAAAATCATTTCTACTTCCTTCTTTAAAAAATGCTTTTCTTCTAAGTGCATTAAAATGTGCAACTTTGCATGTTTGTGAATGTGGTTCAGAAAGAGTCTGTATTTTCAGCACCGCATCCTGTGCTGAACTGACACTAACAGCCAAGCACACGCTTCTTAATTGTCAAATGATAGTTTCCTGATTTTGTAGTGATCGGGGGCGGGGATAGATCGTTGGTCCTTGTAAGGACATTGTGCAGAATATTTATTTTTCTTGAGATGTATTTTAACTGTATTGGTCGTGTCCATATGAATCCTCTTGGGTACAGAAGGAACCCAGGGAAGTATGTGCATGTCTTCTGGGTGCTCAGCGTTGGGTTGTGAATTGTGCAGACATCCGAGACCCACAAAGGCGTGAGTCTGGGGCTGTGATCCTGGGCTCATGGCCCGATGCTGGCAGGCAGGGGCCCTGACCTGGGGGCCAGCCCAGCGTGACCTGCACTGTAGTGCTCTGAATCCCCGTTTGCAGGCAAAGTAATAAATCATGTTTATCTACCGATTTTAACTTCATCAGTTTTGCATCTTACGGAAGGAAGTAGTATCAATGATTTTGATATCATCTATTGAAACCTTTCAAAGATTGTTTTATTTTAAAAATATTGCATGTACGTTTTAGAAAATTTTGAAAATAAAGGTTTATAAAAGAATAAAACTTGCATATGACCCTGCCACCCAGAGATAGCTGTGCTTACCAGAAGGAATGCAGGAATGGCCCCGGCAGGTGTAGGGGAGACTGAACAGGGTCAAGACCCAAGCAAAGTCATTTCTACTTCCTTCTTAGCACATGGAAATTTGCTGTTTTGCATATTTGTAAATAAAGAGTGTATTTTCACTACATTGTGCCGAACTGACACAGCCAAGACTATGCTTAATTGTCAAATGAGAGTTTCCCTCTGTGTGTATTGGGTGAAAGCTTTTCGTAAAACCGTAAACATCATATATACTGTTTTCATTTTATAACCAGCCTTTTTTTCAAAAGTGTTTGTGAAAATATGGTTTTTACTGGCGACCTGGTACCACACAGCTGGAACAGATCACTTTGTGATCAGCATCACCACATGTGCACCTTTGTGCCTCTGATGATCTTACGATAAACGAGAAGCAGAACCAGGGAAACGAGTCAGTTGTTTGTAAGGATGTTTCCAGAGCACTGGCGAGGATGGAAGGCGGCATCTTTCTCCCCCGAAGATGGACGTGAAGAGGCTGTGAGGTAGGACATGTCTTCTGAAAGCTTATTGGCGAGTTGTTTCTGTATTTTTTTTAATATATAAATTTATTTATTTTTGGCTGAGCTGGGTCTTTGTTGTTGTGTGCGGGCTTTCTCTAGTTGAGGCGAGCGGGGGCTACTCTTCGTTGCGGTGCACGTGCTTCTCATTCTGGTGGCTTCTCTTGTTGCAGAGCACGGGCTCTAGGCACATAGGCTTCAGTGTTTGCAGCACGCAGGCTCCGTAGTTGTGGCACGTGGGCTTAGCTGCTCTGCGGAATGTGGGATCTTCCCCAACCAGAGCTCGAACCCGTGCCCCCTGCGTTGGCAGGTGGGTTCTTAACCACTGCACCACTAGGGAAGCCCTGTATTTTGTTTTGCTTTGGCAAATTACCTAATTGTGTTCTTTGCCTGTTTTACTTTTTGGGTGTTAGTCTTTTTTGTATAAGTTTCTTCTTAGGAGGACGTTAACCTCTTGAAGTGAGTTTTTTCCCCAGATAACATTAAAAGTCTTGGGAGAAGAGTCCAGCTGTTCCCCCTATGAATTAGCCCGTTTCCAGAGGCAGCAGATGTGCTTGGACCCAAAACCGCACACAGGCATTGGCAAAACCTATTAGCAGATGTGCCTGAGGCCCGCAGCACTGGGAGGGGGCGTGAGCAGGATACATTTGGGGGCAGGCAGAGAGTTCCAGGCACACAGTTCCTGGGTCCTGATCACTCATTTACGGAAGATCAGATGACGTGAACAGGAAGAGAGGGATCGTCCTGAGCTGCAGGTTCATGTGTCATTTCTGAGTGTGGTTCCATCAGAGGGCTCACCAGACTCGGGCTGCACGGTGTCACTCCCCACGATGCGTCATCTGCACGCCCTCTACCCTCTCAGCACGGCCAGGAGTGGGCCCAGAGCTGCCCCTGCGGGAACTGCCACCCTCAGGAAGTGGCATCTGGAAGTCTGTGGCGTCTTCCTTTGCCTTGAGGTACATTTTCTCCCCCGGGTTGTGACTCATGGGCCAGGAGGAGCCACATTAGGTTCTGCAGCAGGTCCCGGTGCTAGTCTGGGAGTTTCATGGCATCTGTTGTGCGTTTGCTCAGGGCTGTCCATGGAGAACCATGTCTCCTTTAGGGACCGTATTGAAGGATTTGATGTTATTTCTGCTGTAAATGCTGCTTTTAGAATCATATAGATTCTAACAAACATACAGAATCAAACAAAATGCTCATGTAAGGTGTTTGTATACTGATTTTGTATCCTGTAACTTTGCTGAAATCACTAATTAAACCTAGCAGTAATTTTTGTAGATTCCTTAGGACGTGGATATACATCGTGTCCTCTGCAAACAGAGATGGCTTTTCACCTTTCCTTCTTTCTTCCCTCCCTCCTTCCCTCCCTCCTCTCCTTCCCAGCTTTCCGGCCAGACCCCCATGCACGTGGATGGCAGTGCACACACATCCTAGCATGTTCCTGGGAGGCTCCCTGCCCTTCGCCTGTGGGTGTGGTGCATGCTGGGCATCTCTGTGGACGCCTGTATCAGGGTGAGGTGCTCCCATCCAGCCTCGCTTTGTTGACGTGTTTTGTTTTTTTTTTAACCATGAAAGGATGTTAGATTTTGTCGAGTGCTCTTTCTACGTCTACAGAGGTGGTCGTGTGTTGACTTTTGTATGTTGAACCAACCTTGCATTTTCAGGCCCACGTCCCATGTGGTTTCCATACACAGTTGGTGAGTTTAGTTTGCTGGTTTTACTGAGCATTTTCACAAGAGAGATTAGCTGTGCTTTTCTGGTGAGTCTTTGTCTGGTTTTGGTATCAGGGTGAAAACAGCTTCCTAGAAGGAGCTTGCCTTGGGAGTGTTCCCTCCCATTTTCTGGGAAGGGTTTGTGAAGAATTGGTGTGTGTCCTCCTTTAAGCATTAGGATAATTCCTTGGAAACTGAAGTTACTGAGGAGAAGCGTCTGTTTTCAGTTTAGTGACATCCTCCCTTTTGGAAAATCCTTTGCCTTTAACGGGATAGGGTAGTTTTGTCTTAGCTGAGACGCATCTTGGTTAGAGCTCATTTTCTTCATCATGGGCCCTAACCTAGCAATAAACGGGCTGTAAACTTCATCTGCTGCTTTCCTCCATAGTTACAGAAGGAAGTGTGCTGAAAACCATAGATGAAAAGGCAGAAGCTGTCTTGGCTTATGACATTTCTTTCTTTCATTAACGGTGTGAGAAAATGCATATGCTTCACTCCTCTCCCTTTCCTGTATTCCCCACCAAACGCAGCATCACCCCCACCCGGTGAGATACCCAAGGATCTGCAAACCTGGGAGGGAAAACCCTGAGGGACCCAGTGATTTCCTGCTGCCGACACCTGCTCGGCTGAAAGGCCCGACATCCACTTGCTTCTCAGCTCGCACTCCCCTGCTCCTATCTGGGTGTGGTCGCGTCTTCTGACCTCACTCCAGACGAGCTCTGCTTTCTGTCCCTTTTTGCAGAGGAAGCAGACCCTCACTTTTGGAGAACAGTGTCCCCTGGGTGTCCCCCAGAATCCCAGCAGGGACGTGCCACGTGCACCTTCCCGACCCCTGCTATGGCTGGTGTGGCCTGTTCCTTCCCACCGCACAGGTGTGACTGCAGTGCCCCCTCGCCAGCACCTTCTGGGTGTCATCGGCACATGCATCTCTCAGGCGTATTCCTGGGGGTCCTGCTGCCCTCCCCGCCCCCAGCACCGACTCAGGCCCACATGGAGAACAGAGGTGCTCAGAGCACAGCCACCTGAGGACGCGAGAGGGCTTTTCACGTGCGTCTCGCTCAGGATGGCGAGATTCTTCAAACACAGTGTTTGTTCTTCTGTGTCAGACAGGAGAGACACCTCAACTATGTTGTTTTTATTTGGATAAAATTTTCACTTTTCTTTGACAGTCATTTGAGAAATTTGCACAGACAAATGCAAGTAGCTTTTTACTATTTAATCTACATAGAAAATTCAAATGTCATTAAAAATTTTTAATTGCAGTAAAATACACATAAAATTTGCCATCTTAACCGTTTTTCAGTGTACAGTCCAGTGGCATTAGGTACATTCACGTTGTTGTGCAAACACCACCACCGTCATCTGCAGAACACTTTTTATCTCTGCAAACAGAAATTGTCCCCATTAAACACTGATTCCCCTTCCCCATCCACCAGCCCCTGGCCCCCACCATCTACTTTGTCTCTGTGGATCTGACTGCTGTAGACACACCATGTAACTGGAATCATAAAGTAGTTGTCTTTTCACCCGTGCTGTAGCATCGCTCAGGACTTCCTTCACTTGTGAGCTGAATAGTGTTCCATTGTGTGGTTGGACCACATTCTGTTTGTCTGTTGATGGGCACTTGGGTTGCTTCCACCTTTGGGCTGCTGTCAACATGGTGTACACATCTCTCTTCTAGATAAAGGTTTCATTTCCTTTTGAATGTATACCCAGAAGTGGAACTGCTGGATCATGTGCTAATTATGTAGTTAATATTTTGAGGAACCACCATACTATTTTCCATGGTGGGAGTGTAAAATGGTGCAGCCTCTAACAGTGCCCAGGGGCTCCAATTTCTCTACATCCTCACCAACACTTGTTATCTTGTGGGGTTGGGCTTTTTTTGTTTGTTTTTTATAGTAGTTGTCCACATGGTTGGGAGGTGATATCTCTTTATGGCTTTTTCATTTCCCTGATGAGAAGTGATGTTGAGCATCTTCTCCTGTGCTTGTTGGCTGTTTATGTGTCTTTCTTGGGGAAATGTCTATTCAGGTCCTTTGCCCTCTTTTTAATTGAGTTGTATGTGGCTTTGTTGTTGAATATAGAAAGAACTACTACAACTCTGGACACTAAGTCCTTATCAGCTAGACAACTTGAAAATGTTCTCTCCGATTCCCTAGGTTGCCTTTTCACTCTGTTGATTGTGTCCTTGGATGCACAGAGGTTTTTAATTTTGATGTCCAATTTCTCTATTCTTTTTTTTGGTGCCTGCACATTTTGTGTCATATCCAGGATTTCGTTGCCAAATCCAATGTCATGAAGCTTTCTCCCTATGTTTTCTTCTAAGAGTTTTATAGTTTTAATTTTTGCACGTGGCATAATAAGGTAAGGATCCAACTTCATTCGTTTGCATGTGGATATGTGGTTTTCCCAGCAATGTGTGTTGACTGTCCTTTCCCTACTGAATGGTTTTGGCACCCTTGTTGAAAATCATTTGACCAAATATGCCATTATGACTTGGGTGGGGATTGTATTGACTCTATAGATTGCTTTGGGTGGAAGTTTTCCAATCCATGAACATGGGATGTCGTCCATTTATTTGTGTCTTTTTCTTTCAGCCTTTTTCACTCAGTTCATTCCTAAGTGTTTTATTCTTTTTGTTGCCATTAAAAATGGAATTTTCTTAATTTCCTCTTTGGATTTTTCATTGTTATTGTACAGAAATGCAACTGATGTTTGTATGTTGATTTTTTGTTGTTGTCTTTAGGATTTTCTACATGTAAGATCATGCCACCTGCAAACAGAAAATTTTAATACTTCCTTTCCAATTTGGATGCTTTATTTCTTTTTCTTGCCCAGATGGCTCTGTCTGGTGCAGACTTCCAATCTGTGTGGAACAGAAGTAGTGAGAGTGGGCATTTTGTCTTGTTCCTGATCTTAGAGGAAAAGCTTTCAGTCTTTCAGCATTGAGAGGATGTCAGCTGGGACTTTTTATATGGCTGTATATATAATGTTGGGGCAGTTTCCTTCTATTCAGAATTAGTTGAGTATTTCCATCGTGAAAGGGTGTTGAATTTTGTCAACTGCTTTTTCTGCATCAATTGAAATGATCATGTTTTTCCTTTGTTCTGTGTATAATAACGTGTATTAAATTGATTGATCTAATGGTGGATATTGTCTCTTCTTGAAGCGGGGTATTGGGGTCTCCTACTATAATACAGAGCTGGCTCTTCTTTCCTCGGTGTTTGCTTCATATGTTTAGAAGCTCTAATGTTTGTTCATGTATGTTTATGATTATTACATCTTCTTGGTAAATTCTCAACTTTTAAATTTAAACAACATGAAGATGATGAAATTACAGGATTATGGGATTTACTTTAACATAATTAATTCTCTTGGTTGAGGCTAGGGGGTGACTAAAGATAAAACAAGATTGGCCAGGAGCTGAAAACTGTAGAGGAGAAGGATGTGTACATGAAGGAGTTTTCACCAGGGTTCAGCAGATTTTCTGTGAGGAGGCAGGTGTTAAGTATTTTTGGCTTTTCAGGGCCCACATTCTCTCTTGCAGCCATAGACAATCTATACCCTTAACTCAGACTTGGACTGCGTGGGGGGGGACATTGATAGCAAGTGTTCCAATTAAACTCTGTGGGATTTCATGTGTCACAGTATATTATTCTTTTAAGTTGTTCTACCATTTGAAAATGTAAACATTCTTAACTTGTATGCCATATAAGTAAGTACAGGGGGACGGCCACACTTGTCCACTAGGCTGTAGTGTGCCAACCCATGATTTATATAATTTTGTTTCTTCTTTTGGATATGTTTGCTATTTTCCATTTAAAAACTGAGGTGTTACTTTTTCAACATTCGTCGCCCTGTTTTTTTTATCACAAAAGTAATGTATATTCACTGTAAAAAGTTTTGTTAAAAAGCCAATATACAAAAAAAAAGAAAATGCTACCCATAATTCTACTTCAAGGTAATTACTTAAATTTTGGTATCTTTCCAGTATTTTATCTCACATTGCCTTTTGAAGACCTGTAAGCACCCAAAATTATAAAGTGAGAGAAACAGCGAAGTACTAGAATAGAGCTGCGTATCTCCTGGGGGAGAGCAATGCCCTCATCTGGGTCCTGCTCACTGGTTCCCAAGGGAAACTGGTCTTCCAGGTGCTTCTGCATGTTGAGCTTTGGAGATTTCTTTCTTACAGAACAAAAATTCTTGGCATCCTCCTGCTAGCTTACTGAGCCAGTTCTAAGTTTCTAGGGAGAAGAGAATTTTGAAACCCTAGCCTCTAAAGAAAAAATACTTCTCAAAAAGAAAACGCAAAGCAAATGGTATTTTTCCCATCACCACCCCCTTCCAGATTTATTCAACTCTCCTGAAAGCTAAAATTCTACCCTGCCTTTATCACTAAATTCTGCAATTCTGAAAAGTCATGCTGAGACATTAACTTCTAATTACATAAACTTGTCCACCACTTCACTGAGGCCAAAGACCCTGGAGGGAGACTGGCGACCAGCAGACAGATGACAGAGGCCTGGGACAGAATCAGAAACTTGGCCGATACCCAGAGAAAGGACTCTTGAGTATCAGAACCCAGCACAAAGCGGTGGACTTGTACCGAAGCAAGTCCCCAGACACACATTCCTGCAGGCGGAGAGAGGCAACTGCAGGCAGGTGAGGAGGGAGGGAACTTGTCATCACCATGCCCACATTTCACACCTACCTTAGTATCGGCTGAGCCCCTGCAGCAGGCCAGGCACAATCCATACACCATGTCGTGGTCTTGAGGACAAAGTTAAAAGCAGCTAAAAAGACATTTTCCAGACAATTGGGAAAACCTGACTGTATCTATGGGTATTGGATGATGTTAGGGAATGGTTAATTTTGTGAGGTGTGCTATTGACGTAGTAGTTAGTTATGCTGGGGGAATAGCTTCGTTTTTAGAAATGCATGCTGTACGCATTCAGGAGTGAAACGTCATGATGTCTGTAATTTACTTATATATATATCTCGGCCTTGAAATCGTTTATCAGGTAAACACACACGTGAAGCAAATATGACACGTTCAGCAACTGTGGAATCTCAGTGGCTGAGTTGCCCACTGCACTGTTTTTACCTTTGCATAGATTTTTTCCATAATACAGTTTTTAAAAACTGAAATGCTTGTCACTTCCAAATTGAAATGTGCCGGGTTAATTATGAAAAATAACCACCACTTAGAGGTTTAGGTGTAATCTGGCCTCCCTTGCACATGCCTGCTGCTACCAGGCTCAGGAGTGGCACACGCTGTACAGAAAAAGCACAACTCTTAACACTCCCACACACACTGAGACCCGGGGGCCCCCAATTCCTCAGGACCCACAGAGTGACCGAGGTGTGGGGACTCTTGTTCACAGCCGAGCGTGGCCTTTCCTGTTGTTAAAAGGAGAGTGACTGTTTCACTGGGGATGGGTCTTCTCTTGGATGAGCTGTGAATGCACAGAAGCTGGGCGCTGGCTTCTTCACCATCAGGACCCTGGGTGGCTGACAGGTGCGAAAAGCTTAGTCCAGGAGGAGCCCCTTTCCTTGAACCAGCCTCACAGAGCCTGCAGATCCGGAGTAACTTCCCGCTCCGAGGCCCTGGCACCCCTGCTGCCCCAGGAACATCTCCCAAACTCTGCCAGCCTCTCAGCTTCCCGTCCACCAGCTACACAGCCTCCTCACCCCACTGAATCCCATGCTCCGTCCGCTTCATGAAAACGTTTGCCCGGTGCATACGGGCAGGGGGCTCCACCCGTCCAGGAGGGACCGCCAGGTGGGGACACCTGCCCAGACGCCCCACAGCCTCGCCTGGCCCTCACCACCGCATTCCACGCCAGCCACACCCTATCCAGCCACGCCTTCTGCGACGAGGGACAAACTGTGTGGCCTCCCGGGGTCTAAGCCAGCATTTAGACCCCGTCCCTGTGAGTCTGAAGCCAGGCCCTGCACCCCCAACCAGTCCTGGGGACACGTCAGACCCCTCAGAACAGCAGGTGCCTCCGGCTTCCCCACCTGGATCTCAGCTCCTGGTCCAACAAGTGCCTGGGCACAAACACCCTCGGAGCCTCACTCTGATCATCTGTGAAACGGGCGCAGTGGCACTGCCTCTGGGAGCCCCGATGGGCCAGGTGCCCCGCAGGAGGCCAGGCGGCACCAGGGAGTGGAGTGGACGGTGCCTGAGACCCTCGCCCGACGCCAGAATCTGACGTCTCCTCACTGCCCTCCCCCTGCGAGGCAGATGCACGTGCCACAGCCACGTGTCATCTCTCCCTTGCTGTTCTGTTTAAAGGCACCATTTCTAAATTCAGAATTTCTGCATGAAGGCTAGAGTCGCCACTTGGGAACTGGAACACAGACACTCGGTCAGAAAAGACGGTCTCTTCCTCACAGGGAAGAAGCCAATTTTCGGTTTATTCCCCCCATGGCTTCACTGCCAAGTCCCCGTCTCATCTGTGCACGTGGGGAGACTTGGGGGCCGCAGGCCCGGGCAGGTCGTCCCTCCAGGCCACATCCCCACTCTCGGGAGGACTCGGTAGCCGTGCCCAGGTCACGGTAGCCTTGGGCGCAGCCCCAACAACCGAGCGGGTCAGGGCCCCCTGCGGGGCTGGCCCGGCCACACCTCACCTTCCCACAACCTCAGGACCAGCCGCAGCACCCTGACCTGTCCTTGTGCGAACACAGCGGGGAGACGACATGGTTAGAAAAACCCAGAGCGGAGCTGGTTTGCTTGTTAATATGGTCTGTACGCTTGTCTAACTGATTTTTCAAAATACCCCAGAAGGCGTGAAAAACATAGAGGTGAAAGTCACCTGCAATCCCTCATCCGAATGCAACCGTTAAAAGGTCTCGTCTGCCACGTCATTCTCCCCGTGGGTTTGAGGAAAGTCGGGTGCTGGGCCACTGTCTCCAGGGTAACACAATGACCTCATCAGGGGCACCAAATCCGGGGTGCTACCCAGCTATGCGGGGCTTTCCTTCTAGACCCATTGTGACACCTCACACCCTGGGGGTCACCTTTGCGTTCGTCAATCACCCTGTTACTAAAAGACACAGCTCAAATATTTTCCAAATCCTGAGACGGCTTCTTTCAGTAGAAATTTTACATTTTTCAACAGCGGCCAAAATCTATCAACAGTTCATCACTTTGTTCTGCTGTTAGTGAAGATGGGTAATTGTTCATTGCAACGTGACTCTTCACAACATGAATCGAAGGCCATTTAGGTTACGAAGTAGTGCTTTTGCTGAAAGCAGGTGCATTCAGCTGGCTGAACGTAACAGCTGGCCGGCACCGAGTGGACCAGGCTGGGACAGGATGTGGCCATCCACCACCCTACCCCACCCCCCTGCCCCAGGAGCCCCAAGGGACCCTGCGACCCAGGAGGTGCCCTGCAGACAGTTCTGGACCAGGCTGGGTCCTGTATCCACGATTACAAGCTACAGAACACAGCCGTGAGGACACGCACTCACCACGACAGCATCACGTGTGGGTCACAGACCCATCAGACCCTTGTGGTGAAGCGGCAACTACTAGGAAGTGACGGTGCCTGTCCTCAGGGCACAGGCGTCGGGAAACCCCCTCGGAGGGCGTTCCTGCCCCGCATCCATCACCCAGAACCGCTCTTCTGCCAAAAGAAAGCAGGGGCAGCAGCAGGTCCCTTGGTTAGTCATTCAGCACCATCTGTACCCCCCTTTGGACTATTTTATCACAAAGTTAAAAATTTTTTAGCCAATTCATTTCTTTAAAGCTTATTAAATAGTGTTCTGCCCTTCTTTTGTTCAAATATCAACCGAGAACCATAAAAACTAGAAAGTATATAAATGGCTAGAAGTAAACGGGGAGAAAGAAGAGAAAGTCCCCTGGCCTGTGACAACAGTCAGAAGATACCTGGTGACGTATGTCCGTGAGCGAGCATCTGAGGTTCGGGGTCTGAAACCACCAGTGGAACCACACGCCCCCAGAGGCAGGTGTAGAGCAGGACGGGAGCAGGAGTGGGTGAGGTGGGGGGGAGGGGAGGAAGAGGGGACGAGGGCAGGGACAGGCCAGGAGACCAGCGAGGGAAAGGCAGAAACACGCACACCACGGGAAAGGAAGGTGGTGGGACTCGGACGTGTCACCTGGCTTGAGACGGCATCGTGGTCATCCAGTCCCCTAAGGGAGGTCAGGGTTTCTCTCCAGAAGAGGCCACTGTTGGGAAAAACAGATGGAAACCTTTTTACAAGATGAAGATGATTAAGTAAAGAACGTACTCCTATCAGCTGGGTGCTGAGGGGAGGCTTGCTTCAGGCTCTGACTGGTGAAGTCACTGCAGTAAATCGGAAACGGGGCCCAGGGCAGGGCAGGCACAGCGCCTGCTGTTCCCAAACAGCGTCCATTCAAATACACAAAAGATACATCCTGACAGCTGAGGTTGAAGTTGGTCGTTTATTTATGAGTCTACACATTTTGTTGGCATCTTAAATGAGGTTGAAGGTGTCGAGACGGGTACCATCAGCTCTGAGTGACTGAGTCACCGGAAGCAGATGCCAGTAACCGTGCAAACTAACAGTCAGAGTACATAAAGCATGTTTTATTTTAAAAAAACCTCAGCATTAAGAATTCAACCTTCTTTGAAGCCAATCACTTTTCTGTTAAAAACGACAGTCGAAAGAGCAGACACTTCACTCTTCACACAGAGAAGCTATGTTTTTACAGAATTCAAACAAACCTCTCATCAGCCAGTGAACAAAACAAAGATGCTTCGGTAAATTCTATCAAGAAAAAATATCTTTCCCCCAAAGCATACCAATAAATATTTATATTAAAACCCACAAATATTTTTGTTTAATCAGATACAACAGAAGAAAAATTCATTTTTACGTTAATCTTTGTAGATAAGTGTGATTTCTGTGCATATGCCAACCCCGGTCTGGTTTTAAGGAACAGTGGTATGAAGAGCTGTTCTGCCGGCTGTGCACCACGGGTGTGTCACAGGCACTGAGCGTCGCAGCACACGGGCACAGGCTCCCCACAGTGAGGACGCTGTCCCCACCACCGCGCTGAGCTCCCTGCCTAGAGCCTCGGACACGAGGTCTGCCTCCCTGCACCTCAACACAGGATTAGCCCAAGACAAGCCCGCGGTTCCTGCTTTAAAATCCTCGCGTAAGCTCGTCTGCAGCCACAGCAAGCGTCTCTTTAGGGAGAAGGACTACAGTCTATGTACGTTCTGAACTGTCTACCCGAGGAAACGCGGTTTTCAGTTCCGGTATTAACCATTTCAAGGTTCTAACGCAAACTGGATTTTACCACCACTTACATGTCCCCCTTTCAAGGCTCAGTGAAGTAAACTTCTTGTCGCTTAGAAAAAGATGGACATAGATGACTGATGGACGCTACACAGCAGAGAGAGAGATGGTTAGAGGACAGGTATACATTGTACATAGATGGCTGGAGATGACAGAGTGTAGACAGATGGCTGATTGAGAAATGACAGATGACAGGCAGACACTGTCACCCCCCGGAGTCCACAGAAATGCTAAATGACACCCCTTTATGTCAAACAGCACAGAACTGAACACTGAGGACAGTGGCTTTTAAAGAGAGGAATGCACAGTGTAACTGGAGGTTTTTGTTTTTAACCAAAAAACCCCTATACCTTCTCTGTGAAGCCACCGTGACCTGAGATAGACACGTACTCCTGTGGATCAGAGCTGTCCTGCTAAGGATACACGTGCACGGGTACCTGACCAAGGTGCCAGTCTATCAGGGAGGCAGAAAGCAAGTCTGGAGACACACGAGATGCCTCAGTGACGTGCCCAAACCAGCCAGTCTCTCATTTGGAAAAACAAAACCCTGGGTGTTAGAGAAGAGAGGCACTTTTCATCATTTTACATACAGTTTTAACTCTTAACAAGTGAGTTATTTTCCAAACAAAATTAACTGTCAAGTTGCTAAAACTGATCCATGCTTTATATATAGCATTCTTTAATCTGCAATCAAAAACAGAGAACAAAGTTTTAGAAGAAAATAAGATCAATATTTAAAAGTTCAGGAGAAATAAAAATAAAACCTCAAGGTAAGAACCACTGTCATCATCTAATGTGCGTACAGGAGGCTGGAGATGAAGACGCGTTTGCAGACAGTGCATTCACGCTGATCAGATACAGCCTTCACTTCTCCAGGGTTTATTCTGCTTGCATATTTTAAAATTTAGTATAAAAGAAGAGTTAACACAATGTAACATGACCTTTGGAAGATTCATTTTACACCTGGATTGCAGGTTTCTGGCAACAGAAGAGAACTGCGCAGCTGCTACATTCTTATGTCATAGACTACACGTATGTGCTACATGCAGAGAAAGGGATCAAGACACGGAACAAAGAACTGCAACCGAGGACAGGAAGACGGTTTTGTGGCAAAATGCAAATTACCACTGCGCTCCTCCCGGACAGCAGCAAACCTCACGTCTCCAGTCTCAGCAACACGTGGACAACAGGAGGACGTTTCCACATAAGGCAGTCGATGTGCGGTCCCTGTTCGTGTCCACTAAGGAATTTCCTAAGTAAGCATTTGAAGAGGAGAGTCCAAATAAAACGGCACAGGGCAGATTCCCTGCAGTTTTCATCTGGGAAAGACCAAACTTGATACTCTACTAAAAACACACTGTGATACAGCAAACTCTAGGAATCTGAATGAAATGAAATACAAAGGTGCAAAATCAGGCAGATCTTGGTTTGTGAACTCGCAGGAGTGGGGCTGTCACTCCAGCTCCTCCCAGTCGTCCGTCAGGTGGCCTCTGCTCTGCCGACGGATGCTGACCAGCTTCCCCGCTGACCTGAGGCTCCAGCGCGAGCTGTTCCCGGCGCCGGCCAGGCTGGTGTACTTGGTGGAGCCCCTGGCGTCCTCCTCCCAGCCCGGCCCGGACAGACGGTCACTCATGGGGTCGCCCGAGTTGGCTGCCACGTCTTCAAGAACAAGTTTTGGTGGCTCCCAACCTTCGATCTCATCTGGTTTCTTGGACTGTGTACTCTGTTTCAAAACCAAATTGTCCCAAAATCCAGACTTCTTCTCCGTCTTCAAGTCTTCTTTTAATCGTAAGTTAGTTCTACAGGAGACGAAAGAGTTAAGTGTTGGTGATCAATCATCTCAGAGCCTCAAGTTGTGTTTATTCTATAAAATAAAAGGTTCTTTTTAAAAAAAGTCGTTTGGAAAGCTCACACAGATTTATACGTAAAACTTGAAATATTAATAAGGAAAAAGCAGTCACTACACATGATTAGGGAAACTTGTGAATGCTGTATTTAAGGTACCACACTTGGCAAAATGCAAAGTCACTCAAACAGAAGAGAAAAAAGCAGACTGTCTCAAGGCCACACGGAAGGCCGAGCTCGTCTCTGAACCAACCTGAGAAAAGAAGCCCCAGGTCCAGATTCAGAAACGGGGGGTTACTCCATTTACCACAGGTTCAGTTTTCCACGGGTTTATTCAGAGCTGCAGCCTCAGACGTTCAGAGCTCAGAGCGCTTGTGCTCTGAGGAAGATACGGCCGACTGTGGAGGCGAATGCTCACACACGACTCAGGGCTCTGGCCGCAGTCCCCCAGCCTGGCGGCCGGGAGCATCCTCAGGACACAGGGGTAAAAACGCCGGCGTCCAGGCCCGACCCCTTCAGAGTCTCATTTGGACCGAGGGGCCAGGACACAGGCGTGTTTTCAGGCCCCCTGTGAGCTGCCACCCTGACATCCAAGAGGACCGACTTACACAGTCCCTGCAGAGAGGGCCCATGAGGTCACGACCACGGGGTCAGAGGCAGGGGAGGGCCAGACAGTGCTGGTGGGTCATGAGTGCTGCTGAGGCACCTGGTCCTCGGAAGAGAAGCCTCTCTACGGTCAGACTCACCAGGAGTCACCTGCCACTGGCAATGCCACTAGGTCGTCACTGAACTTATACTTTCATCTTTAAAAACATTTTTTTGTTGTTGGCCATGCCGCATGGCTTGTGGGATCTTAGTTCCCCAACCAGGGATCAAATCCAGGCCCACGGCAGTGAAAGCGCAGAGTCCTAACCAGTGGACTGCCA